AATGGAATTTATGAAGAAATTATATAATTGTCTGCATGTGGATATTTGGGTTAATGTGATGTAATTTGTACTTGCATGTTGCCTATAAGTTCAAGTTTTGAATAAAGAGATTTTGAGAAGGAAAAAATTTGGTAGCTACTTTTTTAATATAGCTTTTATTATATTTGGGACCGAATGTGTAAATTTATATTTCTTGTTACATGAAATACATGAGTATATGCAAAACCTGGGACCTGGGGCACTACAATCTCACATTATTATTTTTTTAATGTAAGGTTATGATTTAATGTATTGTTTAACGTATATTTGTTTACAATGTGTTTGTTTTTACATGTTTTTGTTTCAGAATGTGAATTTTTTTACGTGTTTGTGAAAAAAAATTACATGTAAAACAGTGTGAAGCTAGCACATATGAAATATACACAACGTGAAACAAATATATGTTAATCAATACCTTAGATCCTAACTTTAGATTAAAAAAAATGTAAAACAATATCTCAAAGTAACAGTTATCACGATTATCACAATATATGGAGTTCAAATTTGATTATGCCCCATAATATATATATATATATATATATATATATACATACATATACATATATACATACATATATATATAGACAGAGAGAGAGAGAACTTGGTTCAAATGTTAAGCAAGGAAAGCAAAAGACGGTGTACACCGTCATCAAATGCAATGACTCGCTCTAAAAATTGAGACTTCGTGCTTCCCCTATTACTATTTAGGCATACACGTTTTATTTTATAAAAGACACACAAAAATACAAAAGAAAAATTACAGAATTACATTCAAGTTACGGTGGAAAAATCAACATCCAAGTTATGGTGGTAAAACAAGCACTGGGTTAAGCAATCTAGGAAAGTATATTATGAGATTTACTACGATACACATGTGCTAAATGCTTTCATGCATGATGAATATTTTGAAATGATGTTTTGATAAGTTTACCTTGCATGAGATAATGTTATGTCTATAATGAATTTTATAAGAAATACATGTATTTTGTACATGTGATCTACGAAAAGTTTTATGCATGTGAAAGTATGGTCATGTTAGATATCCAACAGGGTATAAGAATGGAGGACATCATGCAAATGGACCTTAGGGGAGAGATCCTCCATGGAAGCCCAGGGAGAAGATCCTTTGCGGAATCCCAAGGATCTAGGATCATATTGAGAACGTTTGTCATACTTACACATATGAGATCTCATACTAAAATATAATGTCCAAATGATGTTCTTACGGAAGCGGTTTTATATATCAACATTATTTATGCATGATATGGGATCGAAGTGTATTTATTTAGTATTCATGCACTAAAAATGATATATTTTATAAAAGATTATTTCTTCATTAAAGCATAATTCTCACTAAGCTTAAAGCTTATGTATCCCATGTGTGAATCTCAGATAATATCAAAGTAAGAGATGAAGGGACCACATGAACACTACTAGAAAACCAAGTATCAGCGACGAATATCAGCGAGGGAAAGTTTCCCTCGCAGATCAGCGAGGGATCAGCGAGGGAATTGCCAAAAAAACTCATTCCCTCGCTGATCCCTCGCTGATTTGCGAGGGAAACTTCTTCTACAAATTCCCTCGCTGATCCTTCGCAGATCAGCGAGGGATCAGCGAGGGAAATAACAAAATTCAGAATCCCTCGATGATCTCTCGCAGATCAGCGAGGGATCAGCAAGGGAATTGACAAAATTCACATTCCCTTGCTGATCCCTCGCTGATCTGCGAGGGATCAGCGAGGGATTTTTCTATTTTTCCTATTGTCTCATTTTTATGTGTTATATGTACATATTTTTATGTGTTGATATCGTATGTATGCATGTCATGTGTTGTTTGTGTGTGTGTGTGTGTATATATATATATATATATATATGTTGTGGTTGCTAACCGCGATATGTGCATGTGTTATAAGTATATATACCCGTCGTGAGGGAAAATGATATTTTCCATTTTGTTAATTTTATAACTACTAATTTAATTACTTATAAATTATTTATTAGATTATTACAAAAATTAATTAATAAAGCTGATTAAGCCCAATAAAACCCATGAAGGCCCAATAAACCAAATAAAGTCAAATAAAACTAAATAAAGTTCATTAAAGCCCGATAAACTCAATGAAGCCCGGTAAATAGATTAAGGCCCAATAAAATCGAATAAAGCCTAGTTAAATGGGTTAAGGCCAATAAAACCATATAAATCTGCATATAACAAACACACACACACATACACACACACTGTCTATACATTCACATATACACATACGTTTAAACATATATTCATCCATCCAATCGTGGTTAGCAACCAGTACACATCGTGTATATATGTGTATACATAATTGAGCGACGGGTATATATACATATAACACATACAACGTCGTGTAAACATATATGTATATAACACGGGCTAACGGGTATATATACTTATAACACATGCATATATATATATATATATATATATATATACGATACCTGAATATAAAAATATAACACATAAAATTCAAGAAAATAAGAAAATATGAAATTTCCCTCGCAGATCAGCGAGGGATCAGCGAGGGAAATGACCAAATTCACTTTCCCTCGCAGATCCCTCGCTGATCTGCGAGGGATTTTTCTATTTTTCCTATTTTCTCATTTTTATGTGTTATATGTACATATTTTTATATGTTGATGTCGTATGTATGCATGTATATGTGTTGTTTGTATATATATATATATATATACATATGTTGTGGTTGCTAACCGCGATTTGTATTATATGCACACATGTGCATGTGTTATAAATATATATACCCGTCACCCCGTGTTTTATATATATATATATATATATATGTTTACACAATGTTGTAATTGTTATATATATGTATATATACACATGTATGCACGATATATATAGATGTGTGGTGGTTGTAACCACGATTGGATTGATGTTTATATACTCGTCGAGTCGGTTTTATTAGGCTTTATTGGGCCTTAAGGAACTTTATTCGATTTTATTGGGTCTTAATGAGATTTATTCGGTTTATTGGGCCTTAATGGGCTTTAATGAGATTTATTCGGTTTTATTGGGCCTTAATGAGCTTTATTCGGTTTTATTTGAGCCTTAATGGTTTTTATTCGGTTTGGTTGGGACTTAATGGGTTTTATTTGGGCCAAATAAAACCGAATAAAGCCCATAAAAGGCCATTAAACCAAACAATGTCAAATAAAACTGAATAAAGTTCATTAAATCCCGATAAACTCAATATATCCCGTAAATAGATTAAGGTCCAATAAAACCGAACAAAGCCCAGTTAAATGGGTTAAGCCCTGATAAAAAAAAATATGACAATTCCCTCGCTGATCTGCGAGGGATCAGCGAGGGAAATGTTTTTTTTGTCAATTCCCTCGCTGATCCCTCACAGATCAGCGAGGGATCAGCGAGGGAATATGATTTTTGCCAATTCCCTCGCTAATCTGCGAGGGGAAATGTTTTTTGCCATTTCCCTCGCTGATCCCTCGCAAATCAGCGAGGGATTAACGAGGGAATTGGCAAAAATCATATTCCCTCGCCGATCCCTCGCTGATCAGCGAGGGATCAGCGAGGGATTTTCCTATTTTTCCTATAAAAATAATAAAAACTTAATTAAAAAAATAATTTAATTAATTAAATAATAAAAACTTAAAAGTAATTTTTTGCGACGGATTGATTCCGTCGCTGATTATCTTTATGAAATACTAGGTTAAGCCTCCATCGTTTTCATTTCTGTTCATCCTTACTAACAGTCCAGACCGAGAGAGAGAGAGAGAGAGAGAGAGAGAGAGAGAGAGAGAGAGAGAGAGAGCTTGCACATCGTCGCGATCGAGAGAGAGAGAGAGATACCGACCACCGCCGTCCTCACCCTTCTTCACCGTCGCCGACCACCGCCGTGCTCACCGTCGCCGACCACCGCGTTGCTCACCATCTTCACCGTGCTCACCGTCTTCAAATTTGTATGTTATATTATTTACCCTTAAACACAAAATTTTACCCTGTTATTGAGCTCAAGAAAAAATCAATTAAATCTTTAATTATCGGGTTTCCAGTTATTAAAAACTGAACTTAATCCAAGATTTTACCCTGTTATTGTGCTCGGGAATACGAGAACCAGTTTCTTTCAAATATCTGTCGATGATTTGGGCCATGCTGTAAATATTTTCACAAGAAATTAAGATCAGATCTTCCACTTAATGATAATTATAGCATATTTGGATACATTCATTTGTATATCAGTTTATTTATACAAGATTTTGGACAAATCTAAAAGAAATTCAGGAAACCCTAGAGAGAGAGAGAATGAAAAAAAGAAGGAAATGGAACTAGATCTTATGGAAAAATAAGCCAAATCTAGAAACAGAATAGCATTGTCTATGATGAATTTTCTTGGAAAGTTGAAGATTTAATCAAATTGAATAACATTCCTGCATATCAGTGGGTGATTTGTTTGATTGTATTCCTTTAAATGTTTTAGGAATATGGAAACAGAATAGCATTGTCTATGATGAATTTTCTTGGAAAGTTGATTAGGTAATTGAGATTATTGGCATGTTATACTGTGATTTCGTCCCCATGTAACTTTATACATAGATGGATTGTGGAGAAAATTATTCAGTCAAATTGAATATGATTCCTGGGTATCGTTATGTAATTTGTTTACATAAATCCCTTTTTTGTCAGGGAATTAAGTTCAAAGTTAGCTTGCTATTAATGTTTAAGGAATCTGGAAACAGCATGGCATCATCTATTATAATTTTTTTTCTCAGTTGATGTGGTAAACGTTAGGCTTGATTATATATATTTTTGTAGTTGGGTTGTCAATTGTTGGGCAAACGTTAGGCTTGATTATATATATTTTTGTAGTTGGTGTGATAACCAGATCCTGGTTATTACCCAAGGTAATTTATACGTGAATATTTGACTAAATGATTACTCTTAGCCAACATATTTACAGGGACTAGTTTTGACAACTTTGTAATGTTTATAATTATCTGTAATTCTTAGATATATCTATTCCTAATTTAGTGGTAGGATATACATAGGTTTCTTCCCCTATTTAAGGGACTCCTGCYTATTGTATCASCACAGAGAAAAACATATACCACAGAAACTTTTATGGTATCAGAGCGATCTCTTCACCCATCTTCAACTCGTCTTTTGTAATCTGAAACAGATCTCCACAGGGGCAGGGATACGTGAAGGACTTAAGCTCCTCGTTCCACTCCATGTCTTCGATCTCCACATTGTCGTACGACATCGTTAATCACCTCGGAATCTTTGATTGATTTCACCCGATACTGAAATCGGTTGAGGCTAGGGTTTTGCACGGCACCTCTGATTCGGTTCTTTACATACATGGAAGATTTTTTCTGATCAGAAATCCAAGACGAATATTGAACCGATGAAGCAACAACCTGTAGCCGTTGCCTAAAGAAATTTCAGGTCATAATTTTTTTTTTCTTCCTCTTCTCATCCCAACCCTTCGGGTCTGATCTAACACCATGACAAAGTCAGATGACAAACCCGAATACAGTTCTTCTGCCAAATCTCTCCACCCCGCCTATTCGGTTTCAAACATTCAGACCAAGATCCGCACGTTAGACGGGTCTAAAGTCACATACTCCTCTTGGGTGAAACTCTTTAGGTTTCACGCCATCGCCTACAAAGTCTTGGATCATCTCGTTGATACACCTGCCCCAACCAACACAGATCCCTCCTATGAATCTTGGAAGGAGTTAGATGCCCTTGTTTCTCAATGGATCTACAGTACTATTTCTGACGATCTTCTTGTTCGAGTTCTTGACACTGAAGCATCTGCACGTACCACCTGGCTCAAACTCGAAAAGATTTTCTTAAGCAACAAGCAAGCCAAAGCCGCAGCCCTGGAAACCCGATTTGTCAATCTCACACTTGCTGCCTGTAATTCGGTGGAAGATTATTGTCAACAACTCAAAGATTTGGCCAACCAGCTAGTTGATATTGGCCAAACCGGTTCCCAAGAAGCGTCTTGTATTACAGCTTGTTCGAGGTTTATCCCCCGAATTTGATACTACAGCATGGTTGATCAACTCCCAGGATGCCGATTGGGATCTGGCCCTTACCATGCTTACCGACGAGGTGATACGTCTTGAAGGCCGGAAACAACAATCCTCATCAGTTCTTGTCACTCCCGCAGCTCCTGCCCCTACTCTGATCCAACAGCAGTCCGCTCCGAACAGTAGCAATACCTCTCAACAGCCACAGTCTCAATACCGTGGCAGAGGACGTGGACGTGGGAACCGAAACTCTCAATCTAATTGGGCATTTCAGAATAACTCTTACCCCCAATGGGCTTGGTGGAACACTCCACCTTGCCCTTACCCTACACAAACCACATGGAAACCTAATCAACCACCACAATACCCGTCCACGATCCCATCGGCTAACTATGCAGGCTTCCCTCCTCCGGGTCACTNCACAGAGAAAAACATATACCACAGAAACTTTTATGGTATCAGAGCGATCTCTTCACCCATCTTCAACTCGTCTTTTGTAATCTGAAACAGATCTCCACAGGGGCAGGGATACGTGAAGGACTTAAGCTCCTCGTTCCACTCCATGTCTTCGATCTCCACATTGTCGTACGACATCGTTAATCACCTCGGAATCTTTGATTGATTTCAACCGATACTGAAATCGGTTGAGGCTAGGGTTTTGCACGGCACCTCTGATTCGGTTCTTTACATACATGGAAGATTTTTCTGATCAGAAATCCAAGACGAATATTGAACCGATGAAGCAACAACCTGTAGCCGTTGCCTAAAGAAATTTCAGGTCATAATTTTTTTTTCTTTTTTTCTTCCTCTTCTCATCCCAACCCTTCGGGTCTGATCTAACACCATGACAAAGTCAGATGACAAACCCGAATACAGTTCTTCTGCCAAATCTCTCCACCCCGCCTATTCGGTTTCAAACATTCAGACCAAGATCCGCACGTTAGACGGGTCTAAAGTCACATACTCCTCTTGGGTGAAACTCTTTAGGTTTCACGCCATCGCCTACAAAGTCTTGGATCATCTCGTTGATACACCTGCCCCAACCAACACAGATCCCTCCTATGAATCTTGGAAGGAGTTAGATGCCCTTGTTTCTCAATGGATCTACAGTACTATTTCTGACGATCTTCTTGTTCGAGTTCTTGACACTGAAGCATCTGCACGTACCACCTGGCTCAAACTCGAAAAGATTTTCTTAAGCAACAAGCAAGCCAAAGCCGCAGCCCTGGAAACCCGATTTGTCAATCTCACACTTGCTGCCTGTAATTCGGTGGAAGATTATTGTCAACAACTCAAAGATTTGGCCAACCAGCTAGTTGATGTTGGCCACCCAGTTCCCGAGAAGCGYCTTGTATTACAGCTTGTTCGAGGTTTATCCCCCGAATTTGATACTACAGCATCGTTGATCAACTCCCAAGATGCCGATTGGGATCTGGCCCGTACCATGCTTACCGACGAGGTGATACGTCTTGAAGCCCGGAAACAACAATCCTCATCAGTTCTTATCACTCCCGCAGCTCCTGCCCCTACTCTGATCCAACAGCAGTCCGCTCCGATCAACAGCAATACCTCTCAACAGCCACAGTCTCAATACCGTGGCCGAGGCARGGGTCGCGGGYAGCAATACCGGGGCCGAGGACGTGGACGTGGGAACCGAAACTCTCAATCTAATTGGGCGTTTCAGAATAACTCTTACCCCCAATGGGCTTGGTGGAACACTCCACCTTGCCCTTACCCTACACAAACCACATGGAAACCCAATCAACCACCGCAATACCCGTCCACGACCCCATCGGCTAACTATGCAGGCTTCCCTCCTCCGGGTCAMTTTGGCAACACCCAACAYCCAGCTTTCACCGGGTTTGACGCATTGAATCCTTCTGATTTAAGTGCTRCCTTCAATACCATGCAGTTGAACTACACGGATCCCAACTACTACTTCGACACCGGTGCTGAGCAACATGTCACTGCCAACCGAGGTATGATCCAACATCCTAATTCTTTTCCTGTTCACACGAAAATTCTTGTTGGTAATGGCAATGTTTTACCTATTGCGGGGTCCGGTACTGGTTTTCTTCCCATTTACAACAATAACTATGTTTTACCAAATATTCTTTACAGTCCTCAAATCATCAAAAACCTTTTGTCTGTTCGTAAGTTTACCCGTGACAATAATGTTTCTATTGACTTCGATCCCTTTGGTTTTTCCTTGAAGGACCTCAAAACGGGACGTCTCCTGTCCCGCCACAATAGCACGGGCAATCTTTATCCAGTTACGCCACCAACACTTCCGCCTCAAGCCTGCTCACTCACATCTACCTCCTTACCTTGGCATGATCGACTTGGACATCMTGGCGCTCAAGTCTTAGACCTTCTTAGTCGTCGTTTTAATTTTTCATGTAATAAAAATCATGCTTCCATTGTTTGCAATTCTTGTCGATTATCCAACAGCAAACGTTTACCTTTTTATGAATCTAATTCTTTTACCTTTACCCYGTTTGATATCATTCATTGTGACTTGTGGACTTCACCCATTGCCAGTACAACCGGATATAAATATTACATGGTCTTGATTGACAACTTTTCACACTTTATATGGGCATACCCACTTAAATATAAATCAGAAACCTTCCCAACCTTTACCAAATTTCATAGAATGATTCTCACCCAATTTAACCGTCATATTAAAACATTCCAATGTGACTTGGGTGGTGAATTTGACAACCATGCTTTTAAGGACTTTGCCCAACAGCACGGCCTCTTGTTTCGGTTTTCTTGCCCGCAAACATCTTCCCAGAAC